CTCTCACTGTACAACGAGTATATATAGTGCAAGTAACAAAGAGAGAGTGATTAAACGTACAGACAAAAGGAGAGGAGTGAAATATGAATGAACAATGAGAGAGTAATACTGAAGATGTACAGTGAGAGAGATAGAATATGACGGACTGAAAAATGAACAATACGAGAGTGATATATGCACAGTAAGAGAGAGAGTTATTCAGAGGTGCAGAATCTACCCGTGAGATTGGAAATTTCTCTCCACAGAAAACGTTTTGCAAAAACTTTGACATAATCCACTAACAGAATTTGTTTTTGCAGTATATTTGCCGAAAGATGTTTCAATTTTTCAAAAAATTTTCCAGAATTAATAAGTTTTCCCCTGGCGACTGTTGGAGCAAACAGGTAGATTCTGCAGTTCTGGAGTTATTGTTAGAGAGGAATGACAGTGAACAGACAGTGAGAGGATATGTTATATTTCGTTACTAAGATGTTTACAATGATATTGTTAGTTTTAATGGTTCTAAATTCTTTAGGTCGATCTTAACATGTCTAGTGTTATTTAGTACACAATCCAGCTTATTTATCAATCTGTTTAAATCAACTACACCAAACAGCTTTTTGACATCGATGAAGCAAATCTTTGTTATGAATTTTGCAAGACTTACAAGTATAAAACTGAAAAAGAGGGGCTTCTTTTGTTTCAACTTTTACAAGATGAGCTCAAGAGGCTTCTTCTGTTTAGTGGACGGACGTCTTTTATTGTCGGGAGGTCTTCCCATGTGATGAAAACTGACGATTTAATCGCGATTTGTCATGCCGAGTAATTGTGAGATTTTATCGCTATAAAATGGCTCAAACTCACGAGTTTTTCATCACCAACCGGTTCGAGCGTTCTTTTCTTTTCGGTTTTCCTATTCTTAATTCTCATGTGATAAATATTGCTGATGAATTGCAATTTCATGCCCGAAATATCGTGAGATTACGTTATCTGGACAGTTTTTATTGCTATTCTTGTCGAAACGAGAATATCAAAGTAAAAAAACCAAGTAAAACTGTATAGTTTCACTTGTTTTTGTTTACTAACTGTGTTTACTTAAGTTATCGACCGTTCAAAGAACACTCTAGGCGTGTCTCAAGAAACAGTTGTTCTAAACAGGAAAGTGGTGATCTAAAAGAATAAAACTGCCACTGAAATTCGTGTTTTTTATATATTTCTTCTGATGCAAAACAAAACGGTGATAACAAAAAGACAGAAAAATCGACGATTAATCGCGATTGATTAACAAGAAAAGTCACGAAAATTTTTATTAGTTAGAAACGGTCGATTAACCTCGATTACTCACAAACATTCGGAAAATCGACGATTTCTTGCCGAAATCACGATTAATCGTTTGTTTTCTCGGAAATCGTGATTAATCGTCCAAACTTAGGCGCTTTTGACAACAAGAGTTGTAATGTGTATACTTGTTCTAAACATTTTGACAGCAGGTGATTGTATCTTTTTTAATGAAAACGTTGAAGTTGATGCGGAATAATATTGTGTGACTTCTAGTCTGATACATTTCCACTAGAAACGAAAAATCACAAACCATAGTTAATTGTAATTGAAGGAAGTCCCAGATCCTTTTTTCAATCGGTCTTCGTTTCCTGAATGAGTTTGAAAGTCCACCTACTACACAAGCAGCTAACGACCACTATGACAGGTTTTTATCAATAAGAGTTGTTAAAAGTTTTTAGCAGCAAGTTGTCTAACACTTTTTCAAATTAAATTTCGTTCCATATAATTACGTTCTTTGTACCAATACACACAGTACATTTAATATTGAAGAAATTATCCGTGTTGTGTGTCATGGTGGTCAAAATGAAAAAAAGGAGAATAGTAGCAAGAGGACGTCTATATATCCAGTTGATGATAGTATAATAATAATATTTTCTATTTCTTATTTTTCGTCATCTAATTTTTTTCTTCTCTTCTTTTACCATCAAGCCACCACACACAATGACATCATCAGTGTGTATATAGATTGTTTTTCAGTTATACTATTTGGCTATACATTGATGCATAATTACTAGAGATATGAAACAATATTCTTTTTAAGCTAACATAAATAGTTGCAGAGTAGAAGTTTTTCAATATTATTATCAGCACAAATTGTAAAAAAAGAAACACATGTCTGAAAAATTTTATAAACGTGCATCAGTCGCATCTGATATTGAATTACGACGAAAAACGCTTAAAACAAAACGTAAACCTGGACATCGGTAAGAATATAACTCATTTTATTTATCTCTGATGACTTATTTTCTCGCTTTTCTAGTATTTTTGTTAATAGAAGTTTACAATTAAATAATATTAGATTTTATGGTTTCGATATGGATTATACTTTAGCTGGTACGTGATTAATATCGAATAACGTTAAAAACAGTTGTAACTTCTGAAATTGTTTATTTATTTTTTCTTATTTAGTTTATAAATCACCCGAATTTGAAAATTTAACATTTCAATTGGTACTGGACTCACTAATTGAACTAGGTTATCCAGCAAATATCAAAGAATTTGTTTATGATCGGTCATTTCCATTGAGGTATTAAATAAACTTCGAGTGTCTGAACACAGGATCATATTTTAATGCTGTGTTTATTATAAGAGGTCTATGGTTCGATAAATTGTATGGAAATTTTTTAAAAGTTGATGCCTATGGTAACATACTGGTTTGTGTACATGGATTTAAATTTTTATCCGGGTATGTGACTTATTTATCCAGTTGATATTAATTTATATATATTAATACTTTTCGTCACTTTGCAGGCTGCATCAAACTGTATCCTAAAGTGTTTTCGATGAAATCACTTATTGTTGCTCAGGAGAGAATTTTTCATGGATTTCATGCAATTTTGATCTTCTATTTAAAAACTTTATTATTCAAAGTTGAAAGTGGAACTTCCATTCGTACACAGTTCAGTAGATGACATTAAGTTGTATATATTTACAAGTTTTAATGAGAATTGAACGAACTGCATCTGGAAAAGTAAAAAGTTTTCATTTACTGCAGTTTCAGCCTTAGAGTATTTTTCTTAAACTTATGAAACTTAACTCATTTCCATAAAAACGACGTATTTTGAAAAACATTTCGTTGATAACAGTTGTTCAGGATAAAATTTGTATACCCTAATCAAAGCACTAACAATGAAGAGTCATGACTTATACCTCAATCAGGATAAAATCCCGATCGGCCTATACGATTATCCCGATTGGGCTACAAATCCCGATCGGGATAATTTGTATAGCCGGATCAGTCTGTATAATCAATCAATCATTTTTCTGGCCCCTGCTCAACAACCAAATAAAAAATAGACAATGCCATTCGAAAGAGGATTCAAATCTGATTCAGTTTCTATAGGTGTCGGCTATATGCATCGTTTGGGGGGGTACTGCATAAAAATTCGAACAAAAATCGTGCATTTTGATCGGAATATAAAATATATCCAGAACGGCTGTTTTTGATCTTTTTTAAAACACTTTCGTTTTAGAAGAAACTAAAAGCTAATTACTGGAATCCAAAACCGCCATCGGATCGAGCACTCAAAACTGCATGAATTCATGGAGATCACCAAAGTGTCGGATGATGATAATCTACTCTCCATTTCAAAATAGTGTTCATATTGTTTGAATAACTCCAGAATGAAGAGAGATAGAGACCTGCCATTTTCAGTATTTTGTAGAGAAGGTTTTACTGCATCTTTTGATATATAGGGACTTGTACGAATCGGATTGTACCTGACACATGAAAAAAGAAGAGGTTGCCAGGTACCGAAGCCAAAATAATTTTTTCACTCAAACTATACGGTTGAATAGCTTGAAGTGTCCTCTACATAACTGCACCATTCCGAGGTTGCTAACTATCAGTCTTTCGGATCCATGGCAATTCTGCTGGGACCTATCTATCTCAGTCCGATTGGGTTATAATTTCCGCTTCGAAGGAGCCATAAATCTCTGTTTGGGGGATATACGCCTTCCCTTTCCCAAATTTATAGTTCTGGATTCAACTTTGGAAAACATTTCCTTCCTAATGAGAAACCAGAAATATCATTTTTGGGCTAGTTTTCGATTTTCTGCTATGAAGCAAGTGTTTTTCAAAATTGAGTGTAAAGATAAATATGTGGCAAATTCAATTGCCTAAACTTCATCTGTTAGGCTCAACTTTGTACAAATCAACCGTCACGAGGAAGAACAATATTTACTGATTTTTACCACGAAGAGGCGTTTCTAGAAACACGACCACAACAAACATTTTAAACTGTGAACCCTAAAATGTAAAATAATCATCACAGTTAAATGGCTATTAAATAGCTGTGAACAGACCATTCTTTAATTGCAAAATGTACAGCGAACAGACTGACATTTAAAATAGATGTTTCATCCATCCTTTTATTTTGTAGTCATGGCTGATATATGTAGATCGCTGACATTTCGAAGAAATTCGCAAATTTTTCTCTTTCCCGATTGTACGAGTCACCGAACCGTGTCTCGAGTAGGGATGCAGCGGTAACAGTAACCGCGCCTTACCGGTTGCCGTTACCGGTCCCCAATTATAGTTCTCTGTTAATCAACATAATGTTGAAGAAAAACACTTTTTAGCATGGAACAATCAGTGTAACTCAAACTAACTTAAGAGCTCATTTCGTTCACAGAACTGGTTGGACCGATAACGGTAGCCGTTAAACCGGTCAGATCGGTAACGGTTAACCGGTTGTCAACCGTTACCGTTGTATCCCTAGTCTCGAGGAAGCAGACGCTGTTTCTGGTGCCAGTGTTGGCACCATGGCACTAAGAAACCAAAGAGCGTGAAAATCACTGTATTTGAGCTACCAATAACAAAGAAATCAATCAGAGAAAACGCTGAAATAATTGATCTTTAATAGTCAGTAACGGTGCAGAAACCGCTATTAACTGTCTGTTTCAGACATTTTCCAGCTTGTTAAAAAATGCCACTTTTAGGCATTAAAACGTTCCCATTTATAATGTGTAAAAATGGCCAAAAGATAGTATCGATACAACTGATCAGTTGTCTACGAAATGCCACTTAATGTCTATTTCGTTAGCCATTAGCCAGCATTTAACAGACCATTAATTACATAGAGTTTTCGACGCCTTGGGATATATACAGCACTCTGCACGCTACAAACTGACATAATTTGACACCAGCCTTAGGGATGGTTACGCCCTTCCTGAATCGAAAATGTTTATTTCTTTTTAGGCAGGAAGTACGTAATTACTATCCAAATAAATACATAATGGGAGATGATAGAATTTATGTGTTTTATACGCTATTCAATTTACCTGGTTAGTTTTTGTTTTATTTACTTTCTTCTCCCATAAAAATTGGCTTTATTTAAGAAATATATCTTCTTGCCTGTATCATTGATTATTTTTCTAATGTTTCAACTTATGCTGAGTAAGTGATTACTGATATTAGTCATTTGTATATGGCATCGTTAAAACAACTCAGTGATTTATTCTGATGTAACATAGGAATAACACAGCAGTAAAATTTGGTGGTAATCTTTTATCATTTCGTGCGATTTTCAATGATGTTCGAAACTCAACTGACCGGCTACATCATCAAGTTAGTAGGAGACTATTCTTCTTTTTGTCCTGTGAATAAATAATGAATGGTAGTCTGACATTTTTGACTGTCCCATATTTTTCCTACAGTGTCAATTTAAGGCTTGTAGTTGTCTTAATTATTTCCCACGACTTACTTTCAAAACTTCATCATCAATCTGTTTTATATGTGAACAAATTGCTTAAAAAAAAAGTGTTTCCTTGTTTCCGATTTTCCTATGAAGCATATAGCTAGAACACTTTCACGAAAAGGTAGACATAAATCTATTAACTTTGAAACCACGATGTGAAAAATCGGTACTGAAGTAAGTTTGGCTATAAGCCTGCACATGCAAATTGCTTCTGATTCTTCACTCGTTTTCAGCAGACACAGCAGACACAGTGTAGCATTAAAATTAGTGTAAAACTCGTGCGAGCTAGTATTACTTTATTTCGGTTTAACCTCTTATGTTAAGCTTATGTTACAAGGGTCGATTTTTCTGAAAAACACATGGAGTGATAGCCAATGATAGCTATGCGACGTACATGTACGTGCATTAGTGTTAGATGCAGCATGATCAAGAATCTAGATCTTTATCTAAACTTTTCAATAACGAATTTCTTGAAAATATCTTGAGCTTTAACATGAGAAAAGTATTTGCGTTTCTCTGAGCATCACTTTCTTCCATGTAACATTTTCTAGTTTCAAGATTTCTCTTGGTAGGTTCAAATGGTAGATACTCTGGCATGGTTCACATCGAAACGAACACCCGTGTTTAGCATTTTACAGAGTCAATTTGGATTTTCTGTTTCTTTTTAAGAATATATCAGGTTCACGAGAAAGTTTTCCATTTGGTTCTTGTAATTTATTTACTGCCATTCCATAAAATAGTATATAAAAATCAGACTCTGTCCTGTCTTTAGACATGGGTATTACTCACATTTTAAGACTAATCGAGCTCTGTAGAATTTTTCTTAATGAAAACATCTTCGAACTGTTCGGGGCATCTGATGAACAATAATCGATTCCTCAATATTTCTTCAACACACTTATTCATCTTATTGAACTTCGTATTATCCTTGGATGTATGTTTACAAAAATTACGCAAATAATAATTATCGACTTGTACAATAAGTAGCGGAAGGAAGAATATCATGCCTTATCGACAATGTGGTGCTCGACAAGTTATGTGATGCATATAAAACATCTGTAACTTGCGCATGCTTATTAAATAACCTGTCGACGACTAGGTATCTTTGTAGTTTGCGATGAATAATATAAATGCCAAGCTATGTTGACTCATAGAATTGGAATAAGGAGTAGATACAATTCTTGCGTCGAAAAATTCTGTTGATATTCTGAGCAAAAACCATCTGAGCTATGACACTGCTTTTGGGCTAAAAAAATATTCTAAGACTGGTTGTGCTTGTTGAATTAAGTTGGAACATTTTCAGATATATTTTTTCTCTGGTTGATTATTGTTAATGATGTTTTTGTCGGAATTTTAGGGAAAACTAAAAGATTTAATATGTACCAATGTGGAAAAATATATTCATAAAGACGAACAATTGCCTGTGCTACTTGACAGGTAAACAACCATATTTAAGAGTTTTTTGTCATTGATCGATAAAAAATTATTTTTCATCATAGAATTCGATCCCATGGTGCAAAAACATTTCTATTAACTAATAGTGAATATTGGTACACAGATGTAAGTATTGAATCAAAAGTAAACGATGATAATTATTGTTCATTTGTCTTGCTTTTAGCGTTTGATGACCTATTTACTTGGTAAAAATAATGATGAAAAAGAAGAAACACATGATTGGAAAAGTTATTTTGATTTTATTTTGGTTGATGCACAAAAACCATTATTTTTCGCGGAGGGTACAACACTACGATTAGTTGATCCTAAAACTGGTAATATGAAATTAGGTACTTATAGTGGACCATTGGTACAAAATCAAGTATATAGTGGAGGTCTGCTTATTTCTTACTGTTTTTAAACAGTGCTAATAATAATATAAAAATAATAGGTTCGTGTGACGTATTTTCAAAATTAATTGGTGCAACTGGTAAAGATGTTCTATATGTTGGTGATCATATATTTGGTGATATAATTAAATCAAAAAAACAAAACGCATGGCGAACAATGTTAGTTGTACCAGAATTACAACATGAATTAAGTGTATTTCATGAGCAACGTTTAACATTTAATACTATCGAAGAATTAGATAATTCAATCAGTAATCTATTAAAAAATTTTAATATGACATCCCAATATGGACCGGATGTAACAGAAATTAAAAAGAAAATACAAGTATGTGTGTACGAGAATATTTAGGAATGATTCAACACTATTCATACACTTTATTCTCGTTTAGATTTGTACTCACGAACTTGATATGAAGTTTGGTTTGCTAGGCTCACTATTTCGAACCGGTAGAGAGAGATTTTTTCCTACAATATCGTCACTACGCATATATGCGTACATTTTTATCTTCACTCTCTTTAGGATCTCGACAAACACATTTTGCTAGCCAAGTAACACGTTTTGCCGATTTGTATACTGGAACGGTTTGCAATCTTGTTTATTATCCATTTTTTTATTTTTTTCGTGCTGTTCCACAACTAGTACGTTCATGCATACACTTCAAATCATCCTTATTCATATACTTGTTCTTATTTAAAGATGCCACATGAATCAACTGTTGATCCTGAGGAACCTTTAAATTTTCGCGAAACACAATGGGGTGGTGATAATCAACCAGATTCAACAGCTGATAGACGTCGATCAACACTTTCTTATGCTCAACCACACAATACAGATGTAGTATTAAACTATAATCATGTATTACAACCGTATCCCGATTTACCAGAACGTATTACTCACGATCATGATGCCGATGATGCAGGTGAAAATGATGATAATCTACGTGACGTTATCTAGTATCATTAAGGAACATATTACAAATGAACAAAAAAACAATCAACACTTAAAACCACGTCCTGAAAAACATTGATAGTAGTGTGAATGATCATGGTTATTGTATAGGCAACTTTTATCCATTTGAAACCATTCATCACAAATAATTAGGATGATCACAAGAATATCAAAATGACACTGAATCGTTTTCCTCCGAAACATGAGATACCGCGATGACCCAGTTCACATTTAATATCGCATAATGCTTAAAATATTCTCCTGCAGTCTAAACGGAACAGTCTTGATAACTGACAGCAAAAACTAGTGCTAACATTCAGCTCAAGTGGAGACACACTCATTTTCTTTTCTTATTTTACTACAAAACCCATTGGCTACTCATAGATTCAAACTTCGACAGTTTCATGAACTTTTACAATAATAAACATTTCTTCCTGTTTTATTGTGTTTCTCCGGTGCTCCCAATACCTTTTATGATTTTTTGTTAGGTATAGTCGAAGCATTTTGGATATTTCACTTACTTACTTACTTAGTTTGTTGATCGCAAAAGGTTATGAACGAATAATAGCACAAGGTACTAAACGGTCTACCATATATCCGTATAAGTAGACTAAACAGACGAACCGAAAGGACACCTGGTCAAAATCATGACAGAGTGAACGGAGAAGACAATTGCGTAGAAAGTGGACTATAGACACAAGTTATTACCGAACAGACAAACAGACACATCAAGACATGATCAGAAATAAAAATTTAAGAATGCGAAAACAACGATGATCATCAGAACTGTCGTAGTACCTGCTTGCTGCTGTTTGTTGAAAATGTTCTTCAGAATGTAATGTAAACAAGAACGATAATTATTCTGTTCCATCGAAATAATTTCATATTGGCGATTCAGTCAAGGGATAAGTGAATCAGAATGATGAACGCTACTTGATGTTATAACTGTTTCAGCTATTGTCCTTCTGTCTATGCGTATTTGGATCTTGGTTAGTGTCTAACACTAAGACAGATGTTGATTTATTTTTTTGCGCAAATTCTCTTTTATAAAACACGGGGGACGATAAGAGGCAAAATCGGACCACGCTCAAATCAGTCCTACGCTAATTTATCTAATGCAGTTTTTCTCCGTGATCAACGCTAACATATTTCTAGGCCTTAAAAACCCTATTCAACGCCCTTGGAAACATTTTAGCAGAAAAAAGTCTTCTCCCGTTAAACGATCTCTACTCAAAGCATTTACAATATTCAATCCCCTTCACCTAGACAAAAAATTAACCCGAAATACTCGGTGGCATGACAGCAAACCGGTGGGTCAACGTCGTTCGTGTTTATACTGTCCGTTGATTTTCTCGTTAACCACTCCACTTTACGTATCATTCGATAGAGAATTTCAGAGAAATGACATATAGAACAGTTCTAAGAAAATGTAACTGTGTAGCCTAAGATCCCAAATACTACGTGGCATGACAATGCCGGCTGATTTTCTCGTTAACGAGCCTGCTTTATATATCATTCTTTAGAGAATTTCACGAGCTACAAAATGACATATATAACAGTCTTAAGAGAATGTAACTGGGTAACCTGAGGTCCCAAATACTCGGTGGCATGACGGGAAACCGGTGGATCAACGTCGTTCGTGTTTATAATGCCCATTGATTTTCTCGTTAACGAGTATGGTTTATTTGTCATTCGATAGAGAATTCACGGGTTACGAAATGATATATAAGATAGCGATGAGAAAGTGTAACTGTGTATTCTGTGATTAGAAATATGTTTTGATTGGTGTTGTGTTGAAGAGAGATGTTTCGTGATTATAGAAGAGAAAGAGTCTTCCTTCTCTGTTATGTTCGGATATATATATATATAGTGGTCTTGACAAATGTTTGTAATAAATGTCGACAGTCGTATGCGTATTGCAAAAGGTGCAATCCAGACTTTCAGAGATTTTTAGATCGAGTTGTGAAAAATTTTGCTGAAGATGATGCAAAAGATGATCAGGTAAGTGAAACATTAATGATTATTTCTTTAACGTTATGCATAGTGTCAAGTTTTTGTTAGATACAGGTAGAAGATATGGATATCAGCTTTGATTCTTTTGCAACAAATTAATATCACAAACGGTCTCAAACTGTGGCAGAGGTTAATGAACCATTGTCTATTACATTACTAATGAATTGCACGATGTCATCTCATCCGTAAGTTATATTTCTGATCAATTGGGTGTATAGTAGCACTTCATTCAAAGGTATATAGTTATATGGTTGTTTAGAATTTGCAATGTTTGTCGATCTCGTATTCATCGCTCATCAACGACTATAGCAGTTGGAGATCGAGATATGATATTTGTAACCAAAAATGTAATTAAACCTGAAGGTTCAAGATGTTGTCGTAAACACTTAGAACATCATCGTTTAACGCCCGCTGCAATAAATATAATTAGGCCACAGAGCATAGAAAAAATCTCACTTAAAGCGAGTGATGTCCAGATGTTGATAAATAAGTCTCAGATACTTTACGATTAACGAAAAAAACAATTGAAAGCCGCGGTTTTCAGTTTTAGAGCGTAGAACCTGGGTCTATCCGTTTATCGAAAAATAAGTTCAGAAATACCGCTTGCAGGCGGTAAGCCTTTTCAAAACTTACTAAACTTGACCAAATATTCAGCAGATGTGTAGTTTTACTCGGACAATCATTAAAACAATTAGTCTGTTTATAACCAGCAGCACAAAATTGAGCAGGAAGCGTTGACTACTGAAATATCAAACATATTATTTTGCAATTATAACATGCAAATTGATTAACTTCAAGATAAGGTTCAATAAATGGTGTAATTGAATATGATTCAAAATATTTGTAAAATACTCCAGTACTTGAACATTTATCTCTGATATGTTTAAACAAGCACATAATAAGTGAACCATTATCATTCGAATAATCAGTCGTCCTACTTCGCACGACTGCTTCGTGACACGTATCGTTTTCTTTGATAAAATTCTCAATTTTCCATTCACATTGACCTGTTTTCATTGTTCGCATATTTTCTTTTAATTCACACACATGGAATGCATCTTGCTAATTATTACAAAGCGTTTCATTTGAAAATCGTTCATTCCATTCAATACACTGACCATCATCACACACATTATTTAGCTGAGAAAAAAATTAATTACTTAAAAAAATATTGCTAAATTTTTGAACAAGGGATTATTATTAAAAAAACTCCTGTCCATCCTCCATTCATCAAAAAAGCTTGGTTCTTGCCAAGATCGATAGAGAAATGTGTGGAGAATGTTTATTACGAGAAAATATGCAAGCATTTTTGTTATTTCCTTCCTGGTATTGACTAATTAATACTAATTAACGTTAATTTAGCCTACTCTACTAGCATAAAGTCTTATTTGTAAAATAGCAACGCAACGAAAAGATTCAAGCAATATCTCATCTGACAGAGCATTTCACCGGCTACAATATAGACTACCTTAAACATTTTAGAAACCGTTTTTGGTCACTCGGTAAGTCGAAAATTTAACAATATTGTTTAACTAATTTATTTTTTTCTCAGCCAAATAATTTCATTAAGCCGAAAAAACTTCCGAACATACACTTCGAAGTATCCTCTACAAACCGGGAAGGCTTGAAGAAAAAATTCAAATCTTGAACATATCGCGGGTTTTTGGCTCACCGAAGATTCTTTTACCTAACCTTACGGCTAGTTTCGCCCGAACCAAGCATTTTGGAGCAAAACTCTGAGTACAAAAGTTGTTCAGAATCGAATTTTGGAGTCCCTGACTAGAGCTTTTTTTAAAATTTTCTGTTTCTGACTTTTAAATTAAGTTTTAGGGTTTTTAAAATTTAAAAATTTCGTATTTTTTAATGTAAAAATCAAAAACAAAAAATTTTAAAAAATGCATATTTCACCGGATACAGCACCACGAACCAATAATTTTGCGGCTTCGATTACTGTTATCTCACGAAGGGAACTAACTTCATTTAGTTTTAAATCTGATGAAACTCGATGAAGCTTTCACCCTTGAACTTGAACTTGAATTTGATTTTATTTTACAAACAAAGCTGACTTTACAAAAAAGAGAGCTGCTATAGGAAAGCAGAAAAAGTAAAAAATACTTATACACACTGCCACCTGGAGTAACAACACCACAAGAGAGAGAATATACGCTTACATCTATAGATACACTCTTTTTACAGAGCAGAGTACAGAAATAAAACAACCCACAGAAAACGCCGTATACGCGATTGCAACTTTACCAAATTTGCATGCAACTCTAAAAATGAAATCAACATCTTTTTTATCCTTTAAAAGAATAAAACATAGCAGCAGTTTAACATCAATATTTGTTCGAAAAAATAACAGAGGAGGCGGTCGTATCTACAACACACATAATCTTTTGGAAAGAGACTAGCTATAAAAGTACTATACTCGGAATGCAACTTTAATTCCTCGTCGTTCTTTTCTCTACTTTAATGTCCCAATACAAAGATTAAGCGTGTGTTAATACTTTAAATACTGACCAAAGGAGAAAACCTTATTTGGGAATTTAGTGCTACAGTTTTCTAGAATGAATGAATATTTCTCCATCGAATGAGCATAGAATCAAATATTCAAGCGTTCTTCCAGTGCCACCCGTCATTCTTCACAAATGTCCTTGCTGTTCAGAGATCGGCTGGTCGTGAAAACAGAATCACCATTACAAATCGCAGTACACTCTAAAAAAAAAGCGTCGTGCACAAAACCTAAAAGGGTTTAGAAAAGTGTCCCAATCAGCTACTCCTATGGTTTGGTAAAATGCCGCAAAGAGAGGTACACCAATCAGTAGATTACACCTGATAAG